ATATATAACTCTAACAGCAGATGGGCGCCTAACAGGCAGCCAACTCTGAGCAGGGCTGTAAAGTGGGTTGCCTACCTCGCGACGAACTCGCAGGCCGCAGCGAGGGACGCTCCAGTCCGGGGTAGTTGCACGCTACTCGACGTTCTCATGCAGTTTGCACGAGCTCTTCCCTTCCACCTGCAGAAAATCGGGAAATATCTGTTCAGCACGCTGCAAAGACAACAGTTTACTCCGTACGAAAGAAAGTGTGTACTATGGCACGTTCACTCAAGGAGGTGTGTGCCGCGACAAGTACACACTTTCCTGCGTGTACTGAGTACACTGTTGGGTCTGCAGTGGACCACTATAAAATTAAGAGTGAGACTAAATGAGCTACATTCACCTCTTCAAAGTAAGAAGCGTCATGTGGACACCACCCAGCAGTGGCAGAAGACAAAGCAGTCGGTGGTGTAAATCCGGCGGCCGCTGCTTACGAAGACACAGTGTGGACGGAGTGCACTCCATCTTCATATAACCACCAACTATGCCGCTCCACTCCGGGAGCACTGAACATGCTAAGTATTATAGCTCAGCGTTAAAATTATGCTCGCCCATAGCATCGTGGCTCAACGCAGATGTCTTAAAACGAATAAAGACGACGCAAGATACTATGTTCTTGCAGTATACAAGCAGCAGCCTTAAAGTCCATGAGGGAGGGGGGGGGGTGTCAGAAAACCTGTCGAAGACAAGAGGGGACAACATAAATCACTGCTGAGAGATAAATCAAACAGCAGAGGGCGCCTGACAAGCAGCCACCTCCGAACAGTCCTGTAAATGGGTTGCCTACCTCACGACGGACCCGCAGGACGCAGCGAGGACATTCCGGTCCGGTGTAGTTGCACGCTAATCGACGTTCCCACGCAGTTTGCAGGAGCTCTTCCGTTTTACCTGAAGGCAATTTCAAAATATTTGTTCAGTACACTGCAAGGACAGCAGTTAACTCCGTACAAAACAAAATGTGTACTTTGGCACGTTTACACAAGGAGGAGGGTGCCGAGAAAAGTACACACTTTCTTGCGTGTACTGAGTTCACTGGTGGGCCTGTAGTGGCCCAAAATTAAGAGTATGCTCTACATTTACCTTTTCAAAGTAAGAAGCATCGTAGAATACCCGGCAGTCGGCAGCCGAAGAAAATGGTGCAGCCGATGGTGTAAATCCAAGCGCTGGTGCTTACGAAGACAAAGAGTGTGTGCGCACGGTGGAAAAGGTTTCTTGTATTTCAAGATCCGGTCTTGGATCTTGTGGAGGACGCCGATGGCATCCAAGAACAGATTTTGAAATACAAGAAACGATTTTGACCATGCGCGCTTTAACCTGAAAAAACCTACTATTCCACTTCACTCTGGGAGTACTTAAAAGGCTAAGTATGAAACCTACACTCGCTAAGGGGACCGTGGCTCAAAGCAGCTCACTTCAGAAAACAAAAAATATTTCCCTTCTCCCAAACAAGAAACTCTGTTCTTGCAGTATACAATACACAGTAGCCTTAAGACCCTTACAATCAGATCTTAAGGCACATGCGTTGAAAGTGAATGTCCCACGTAGTTACCAACGAAGATACATATTTAATGAAACGGTATGTCCACAAGAGCAGAGCTCCGGCACAAACTACTCGGTAAACATGGCGTTTGTTGAGCAAATCTGTCGGGAGAACGTGAGCTACCTCAGTACTCAGGGCGACACGGCTCACAAATACTATCATGTTGGCAGCTTCGTGACACATTCCTCTTTTCAACTCATTTACAGACCTACATACTGCTTCTCCTCCTGATGGTCAGAGAAGTCTTACGTGTACAAAACTTTGAGAAAGGCATTATCAGACCGCGAACGACATTGCGCACTTCGCTTCTTTTCAACTGATTTACAGCAAGCTTTCGAACTGCTTCTCCTCCTGCTGGCCAGAGAAGTCTTACGTGTACAAAACTTTGAGAAAAGCCTTATCAGACCGCGACCTACATTGCGCACTTCGCTTCTTTTCAACTAATTTACAGCAAACGTCCGAACTGCTTCTCCTCCTGCTGGTCAGAGAAGTCTTACGTGTACAAAAGCTAGGAAAACGCCTGTATAGACCAGACAGCGACCGACGTTACTCACTTCGCCCCCACCCCCTACCCCCACCCACTACGCACCTATCTCGAAGCGGGAGTGCCAGGGTACTTGCACACCAACTTGGATAAATACTTAGAACTCATCACCACACAGTGAACATTGTCCGACAAAGACTACTCGGCGAGCAAGTTGCTCTATATGAAGCAAATCTTTTGGGACGAAGTGCGCTACCGCAATGAACACTGAAGTGAGCATTCCAAGTACCTCCAAGCTGGTATGCTCATGCCATGGCATTCAACTACGAGATTCTAAACCCATTCAGCCTATAATGCACTTCATGGAAAATGTAGCGCATGATTTTAAAACCCGCATTTTAGTTTTATCTCTATGAGAATTGGAAGCCCAACGAAACTTTGTTGGCGGAAGATAAACCGGAATTGATTATCTCAAGCCCGAATTAACGCTAAAACGCCAACAGCGACACCCTGGAACAGAAGAGTCATGTGACAATCAGAACTCAATTAGAAACTATTTAGCGTTTACACGAGCACGTCTTCTTACACCGGAAGTCCATCAGCGTGCTGGCACGCTTTCTGATTAAGCAGAGTGCTTAAAACTCAGTACACAGAGTATGAGCCGACGTTATTGGGGAGACACATTTTTATTGTTTCAGGGAGGGAGGGGGAGAAGTAAATTTCAAAACTGCACCACAAAATACGTAACTAGCCGATTTGAAAACGACGTTTGGCTTAGCCGTCCAAATGACCATTCTGCAGGCGCGGTTTAACAGGAAAAAGGGGAAGAAGTAGGAAGGGCAATCAGCGAATCCCACTCCTCTTCCCCCACTGTTTTTCTTTAAAAAGTCAGAACTTCACGAAGAATTCGTGGTATGAAAAAAATTGTTGCCAGAACTCTTTGTGAAATCACAACTTTTCTTCGTTGTCAAAAATTGACAACTTCAGCAATTATTACGTTGACTTACAAGTATTTCCAAGTAAGAAATCAAAATTACAAAGAAGTGTTGTGATTTCACAGTTGCTTTGAATCGTGAAAGTGTTGGGAAATTACAAAATATTTTTAATAGTGCCGTCGGGCCAAATGGCCCCCCAATCAGCTCATGGGAAGCCATCTGATAGGTGGGTAATTTGAACTAAAACAAGCAGGCCCGCCCTTCCGCCAAACGGTGTTGCCAGCTCCACTGTGCTGCGCCGGCAACTCCGTTCGGCAGGGGCCGGGCCTGCTTGGCCTGCCGGCGGCGATGGTCGGGCCTTCGGCCCGACCATTTTAGTCTCGCGATTTACTGAAGTGCATAATCAAATAAAT